TACGGGTCGCTAGTATCACTATTAATTCTCTAACACATCCCATTTCTGTATTGATTAGTGCATTCTCGATGCTTTCTAAGCTCTTCCCATTCATGTCAGCTGAACATATTTTGCAACCATCTTTCACCTAAGGCCAAATTTTGATAAGATTTCTGAAAACCTTGCTTCCGGTATTGCAAGTCCTTCCCATGCATGTCAGCAAAAAGTAATTTGTAACTATCTTCCGCTTTTCGGTCAAATTTCGAGAAAATCTCTAAAACTTGCTTATGCGAGCAATCGTTTTGCTTAATCAATCTTTCTCTCCGAAAGGTGAGCGTGATTGCAAGAGCAAATTTTGCGAGAAAAGCGTGCAGCATTTTGCAGAGCATATCTTGAATAAAATCCGAGATTCGAGCTTTTGGAGCATTTGCTAATGAAACTATTTCTCTCCAAATAAATATGGGTGCGTGTCACTGTGAAAGAAAATTGTACACAGCTCCACAGATCAAAATTTATTCAAAAAAGGTATTACCCACTTCGGCTAAATCTTGAGAAAACTTTCGAATCTTTGAGCGGTTGCAATGTTGTCTCGCCACAATTGGAATGCCTCGAACATGTCATCGGTAGTGCAGAGGATAGTGAGTGAGGGCGAGAGTAAGGTTTAGTCCCGGTTAACTCTTCCCTTTTGTTGTTGTGGTTCGTATTTCTCGAAACTTCCGCAGCACCTCATTTGGGAACTTCCACAGCAGTTCACGGAACTTTCGCAGGTAACCCGGCGCTTACCCAAAACCTTCTGCGGAAGTTCCGGCCAGTTGTTTGACAGTTGTGAGTTGTGAATGTTCGTAAATTTGAGGGAGACTTGTATTGTATATTAGCTTGCAAACCCCCGGCTCCGTCCGGCACTGTCAGTAAAATATTCGTAAACAGTATGCTTACTTACCCCGGTGTGCCAATTACCACCTCCTAACTCAAACTTTTTGAAAAATCGATAAAATCGATGTCGATCAACAACAAAAAGTAGTGTATGTGTGCCAAGTTTCGTTCGGATCGGTTCAGAAA